GAAGGAAGTGAAACAGTGTCGTTTCTGCGAAACACCATTCGAAACTCCAGGCAATGAAGTGATGCTGGGGCGTGTGGAGTGTGAGATGAATGAGGCACTGAAGCTCCGTGAACGTGGAGAAGAAGAACACTGGAGCTGGAAGCGTCTATGGTCGGACCTCGCAAAGGATGTGGTGGTAGGTGAAGATGAGGGGACAATGCAGGGCTACATCCTCGACTATGTGGAGAAGATGGTCTTGGAGATGGAGAACAAGTTGACTGACATGCGAGGCGATGATGAGAAGATTCAGATAGCGGCAATGGCTGCTGATGTCTCGCAATCGCCGGAGCAGCAAGCAGTCCACTCGGTCCTGCAAACCTACACGGTGCCCCTAGCACAGGTTCGAAAAGATCTTCCACTATGGATTCCGCCTCTCAAGAACGAGGTAACATCGCTGGAAACGTCAACGACAGCTGTTCGGCCTGTGAAGGTGAAGGATTTGGTGAATGAACCGGGCTATGAAGAGATGCTGGTGGTCCCATCGAAGGTTGTCCCGACGGTGAAGGCCCCGGATGCTCGCAAGAAAGCCCGTATCGTTCTTTGTGGCAATTTGGTGGAGGACACCTCAAAGCATCGGGAACAACCTATGGCCCTTGAGGATCGTCAAGATGACCAACCGCCTCAGGAGAAGACCATGGGAAGCAGTTTTGATCTATATGCCAGTGGCATCGATGGGATGTCATTGAGGTGCACGTTGCGAAAAGCGGCTCAGGAGAAGTGGTCCATCGGGGTTACCGATGTCTCTACAGCGTTTTTGCTTGCGCCTCGGAAATCGTCCAGGCTCATGGTGACAAAGCCGCCGTCCATCCTGGTAGAGGCTGGACTCATCGAGCCTGACATTCGCTGGGTGATCGAGAAGGCGGTCTACGGCCTGGACACATCTCCCTCTGACTGGCAGGCCTACAGGGATGAAGCGCTGCAGAGCATGCGGTGGTGGGAGGATGGGGTGCACAACTGGGTGGTTCCCACTCCGGAGCCCAATGTGTGGCGACTGATGACTGCACCTGGAGGTGAGGAGGAATTTGTGAAGGTGATGGATGATGGGTCAACGGCGGGGTATGCTTTGTCCTATGTCGATGACTTCATTGTCACTGCTCCTCGTCCCACGGCAGAACGTTTCCTGAAGAAGCTCGCAACCATGTGGAAGTGCGCCGAGCCAAAATGGGTGACTCAGCACCAGTGGTTGAAATTTTGTGGCATAGAGATGAGGTGGAAGGGCGATGAATTGTTGGTGGGGCAGCCTGACTACACGCGGGAAATTGTTAGTCGGTATCCTGACCTTCAGCCTCGCCAAGTTCCCCTCCCGAAGCTGGATGATGTGGACCTGGAGGACGAAATTCTTCAGGAGGATGTGAAAAAATGTCAAACCATCATCGGTGAGCTTCTTTGGCTATCGACACGTACAAGGCCTGACCTGAGCTTTGCGGTCTCCTACCTGGGTTCCAGGGTGACAAAATGTCCAAAGAAAGTGCTCAAGTTGGCTCATCATGTGGTGGGGTACCTCATGAACACCCTTGACTATGCGCTTGCCTATAAGCCCTGTTCCGAGGAGACGGACTCCTATGGCCGGCGGAGCTCGATGTCCAGGCTGGAGGTGTTGGCAGACTCGTCGTTTGCACCAACTGGAGGAAAGGGTCATCAGGGCATCATGTGCCTGTGGGGTGGTGCTTTGGTGGCTTGGGAATCAAAAACTCAGCCCTTCGCAACGCTGAGTACAACTGAATGTGAACTTCTGGGGTATGTTGATGGCCTCACCCTTGGAGAAAGTGTTGGAGCGATTGTCAACGTCCTCGAGCAGAATGCGCTGGCCCATGAAGGCTGCTATGTTTTGCGAGGCGACAATTTGTCAGGTTTGCAGCTGCTGCATGCCCCAAGCGGGCCCTGGCGGACGAGGCATCTTCGGCTCCGCAGCCACGTTTTGAGGGAACGGTTGCAGATGAAGCTGTGGCATGCAGTGCACATCCCTGGCGCTGACCTATGCGCTGACCTGTTGACCAAGGCGATCACCGTGCCTCGGAGCTGGGAATCATTTGCTTCTACGGTGGGGCTTGTGTCGGTGGAGCCGGAGGCGTCTGTGGAGGACCCTGCGCTTTCTCGCTTGAAGAAGTTGGCGCTGGGTGCGGCGGTGGCGTTGGGACTGTTAGTGGTGGCTCCAGGCCTGGGCACTGCGGTCCGAGCGGCATCGGTGTGCGGCTTGGCAGCGTTGACGGCATTTGTGCACAAGAAGTGTTCGAAGACGGCAGATGGCCAGTCAACAAAGAGGTCTAACGCATCCCATTCAAAAGAAACATCAAGATGGTCGAGGGAAAATGAACCCGGCCCAACATCAAGATGGTCGAGGGAAAATGAACCCGGCCCCATCGAATGCGGGAGGAACACAACCTATAGAACCTCCCCGCCCGTCGATCGCCCGACTTCGTTCGACTGTTGCCGGACCGGCACCCCGAGGGTTACCAAGGGTTTTGCTTCGCCTTGCAGCCATGGCCGAATGCGGATGTGCGCCATGAAGGCGCCGCCGACAAAACCGCCGCCCAGGCATGTGGGCTTGGGAACGGATGAGCCTTGGGAGCTTGCTCGCTTCATGTCGCCGCCGACCGGCCTGGACCGGTGGGAATGCCTTGGATGTGGCACCGCCAGTGGTGATTGGTGGGTGAGGGTCCTCAAGAGGCCCAGGGTGCGGCAGTTCCATCCGCTCCACAGGGGGACGCCTGTTTCGATTGGACGTCTCTCGCCAACCCGGATCACTGTGGCCTTCAGCCGGGGGAGCACAAGAGAAGCCTGGCGTCGACGATGCATCATCGATGACTGGGTGGAGAACAGAAATTCGGATGTCAGAGATTGCTATGAATGGTGTGGCTACACGTTCTTCTTCGAGAAGTTTGGCCCAGAGGCTGGTGCTGCGGATGGCGAGGAAGCGTTGTCTTCGCAGGCTCAAATGCCGCTGCGGCCTGGAGCGGAGGGATCTCAACCCCGTGAAGGGTATGGAGGTGATGGCGGCACTTCTTCGCATGCTGCGGAGAGGGGTCGGAAAGCTATGGAGGCCTTAACTGGTACTTCATTTCACATGTCACGTGCCTATGACGGCACGGCAATCACTGCACGAGTCAATGTGACCTTGGAGGGTGTCCCCGTGAGCGGCTATGAGGCAAGGCGCCTTGGGTGCTTGAAAAGGGGAGAGATCGGGCCGTCCGCTTCGTCGAGGGCAGTGGACTTGAATGAGGAGGCTTGGAGGGTCTCGCTGGAGAGTGAGCGGTTAAGTCCGCCGGAAGCTGATGATCTGCCCATTTGGATGGGCGTTGAGACGCCATTTGTGAGGCCTCCTGGCCTAAGCCACGACAGCGAAGACTCGCGGTCGGTTGGAAGCTTCGAACTTTTGGGTGACGCTGCAGAAGAAAAAACCTGCAGTGGAGCCCCATGAAGCCATGTATGCTGGCACTTTGGACCAGCATAGGGGGAGTGTGAGTGGAAAAACACACGACCCAGCATACCTTTTTTCGTGAAGGTCATGAACACCTGAAAAGGTGAACCACCGGTCAAAACGACCTGCGTTTGGCTCAAGGAACAACGTGAGCGGCTGTTTTTTGTCGGTCGCTCTTGAGGCTTTTTCCATAACCACAGAATTAAATCAGGAGCTAATTCCTAGACATGCCCACGGTTGAAAGAGAACTACCTCCAGAGGTAATTCAAGTCAACAGGTGATTGAAAGGTATAAGATCCTAAAGAATTAACTCAAGAGTTGGTTCTTTTAAACTCCTGAATTCACTCCATTTCTCAATATTTAAGATTCACGTTATTACTACTCATTTAGTAATCCATGATCCATACAAATGGGAGCCTTCAAAGCGCAGCCGCTTGCCACAGGATGAAGTCAATCTCGCCAGCCTTTAAAAATTGTGTGAGGTTATCATTCATGAGCTCCTACGCGTGCTACGCTGGGCACCAGCGTGCATCTCCACAGCGTGCGCCTACCCGAGACATTGACTCAGGTTTACGACTACTCCTCATCCTGCTGCGCTACAATGATCAATTACTCTTCCTGCTCCTCCCTGGGCCTGTAAGTTAGTTTAAGATGGCTTGTATTCACTGCATGGTTTCGCCATTGCTGGAGGCTGCACGACAAGACTTCTTAGCTAAGACTTTTTGCTGGAGGCTGCACGACAAGACTTCTTAGCTAAGACTTTAAGAGATAGTCAAATAGTCATTGGCTTTACACGTGCATGGCTATAGTGAGCAAGTTCAAGGTCAGCCGACGCGAGAAAGCAGGTGGTTCCACCGGTCGCTGCTTTTTAAAAAAGAACGGCAATGCCACAGCGGCTCCGAACACCACAATGTGGAAGGCAGCATCGAAGCCCATCTGTTTTGGGTTGATGCAACATGCACACACAGAACAAAGACATACGCTGACACACGCCAACACAAACCTTGACAGAGACCCGGTTTCAAGTACTATCTGCATGTTATTGCATGCCTTTGCACGTGTTTGCCTTATTTTTGTCTGGATGTTGCTCCTGACTTGCCAGGCATTGGCCCCTCGGAGCCCAGCCGATGTTCCAGCAAGACACTGGAATTATGAGAAGTTAAGTAATCCAAATTCCAACAATCAAGACATGTCAAAACGTTACGAAAAGGGGTGCGAATGACTATTGACTATGACAGTTCTTCTGGTCGGTTATATTGTCCCAAAAAGCTTTCGCGAGCCAAGCCGGTGCCTGCAAAGAAACTGTTTACGCAAACAAAACTCAGATCAACCTGTACATGACACCTTTCAATTGAAAAACTCACCAGCATTTCAACAGATTGTCAAAGAAAGCTTGGGCTAACTAGCCAACGCAATCTCCCTATTCAGCCCCAAAGGTTGCCTTGTCTAAGTTTTGGTCCCACATTTATGGCCACCCCTTTTTCATCACCTGTCTGAGGGGCTCAAGCAACACGAGCTCCACCAGCGTCCCCACCGGCTCCGCCTGCGTTTTTCGCAGGTCCAGGATCCCTTGCTGCAATTGGTTCCGGAGCTTCGAGAGCTCCTCCCGAAGAGCTGGACGAGGATGACCGGACACGTCGCACGGGCGAAGGACGCGGTGGTCTTCACGGTGTTCACCCAGGTTTTCACATGACCGTCTAGCAGAACACCATCGTTAAAAAACGTTGCAACAAACACAGACATGTTTTAAGCCTATTTAAGCCTATTCCCTCAGCAATCTATCTCTGACAGCTTTTGGTCCTCCACGAAACGAGACCAAACCTAGAAGATCCAGACGGAAAAGACATGGATCACTGATGGCCACCCCCAAAACAGTCTGAGGTTCGTCAAGGTTCATCATGTTCCATCAAGGTCCTCCGGCCCTTTCTAGAAAAGGTTGGCAGTGCGTGGTTTCGAGGGTCTCGTCAGAAGCTGTAGGAAGCTGTCATCCAACTTGTTAGCCCAACAGTTGGAGCGCAGGAGCCTGCAGTTTGATGTTCACAAGGCTCCACATGTTTGATGCCAGGTTCCTCACCACTCACCCGAAGAATTTGACTTCTGCATTCGCGACTGAAACGCCACGAGGTCGAGGTCGGACTCAGAAAGCCTAATGTCACCGGTCACCTGTCCAAACGTTCCTTCAGACTCGGTCAGGCGTCCAGCAGAGAGGCCCCCGGTCCACCAAACATGTGGCTATTCAGAATGCTTTTGTTGAGGGGTTAAGCTATTATATATACCTTTTGTTGAGCAATGGAAGAAACGCGACATTCATGAGCGCAGAACATGTTCTCACAGGGTATTCTTGGTCTGGCTGGTTCTGAAATGACCCCGAAGGACATCTCCAAGGATCCTTGAACCAATTTTCACCCACATTCTCCAACTCGCGCTGTAGCCCAACAACCAACCCAGCTTTGGTTGAAGACAACATACTATGAAGACATATGAAGACAACAATACGATAGAGTTCCAGCAGTTCGCTTGACAAAGAAGGGGTCTGCTATAACCGCACGACTCAGTGTTGATGTGACCCGCAATTACGTGCTGTTCGGATGACCCTGGGGCCGTTCGTGGGATGAGCGGACCGGGTCCCCACCATTAGGAGCGTTCGGACGCGAACCGAACGGGGCGACCCTGGCCTTACGAACGGAGCGTACGGTTCGCGATAGCGAACATGTCGGGCATCGCGAAGCGAACCGGTGCGCGATCGGTTTCCGCGGTTTCCGAACGGTTGGAAGCATCGCCCATCCGTCATCCGTCCTCATCCCAGGCTGCTCGGCGTGCACCCTCCTCCTTGCGCTCCTGCGGCTCGGTCAGGTTGTTGGAGCGGGCTCTGGTGGCGAGCGGCGGGCGGCTAGGGCTCTAAAGTAAAGTCTTCAAAAGTGGGTTTGGATGGCAACCCTCCTTTTGAGCCGTACCCACTTGTTTCTTCATTGAAACATTTCGTGTGAGACTTTCTTGGAAGCATGGAATGTGAGATACTGATATGCTTGTATCGTTTAGCCATTAGCCGCTAGCCAAAACATGCAACCGGTGCCCCATACATATTGGTACAACGTGCGCGCGCGCGGGTGTGTTTGCACCACTTCCATTGCAAATTCTTGGCCGCCTTGGCCTCTCTATTACCATGCTGTTTTTGCATCTTAAGAGTCAGAGGTTGAGTGAAGTAAGAACTAACAGCAGGCAGTCAAGAACAAACCGTTGAACACACCTTCCATCAAGAAGGAAGGAACTTAGCTCCAGTTCTCTCTCTCTCGCTCTCTCGTCTTCACTGGTATCTCCCACACGTCGAGAGCGCAAACGTCTCCCAAGAGCCGCGGGTCGCGAGCGTCCACCCCTCTCCATGTCCACCTCCCTCCATCTGACGCAAAAGCGATCCTTGGAGACTTTCTGGCGCAAGCTCTGCAAACTGGAGCCCTGCTTGGCCAGCAACGATTCCACCTGTCCCTGACGGCTTCCGCATGGCGTCAAGGCCAAGGCGTCCAGTGGATTTCTGCAAAGGAACCCGGCTTTGTTCTTTTCGCGGGTTTCCATGTGTGTTTTCGCCTGTTCAAACACCAACCCGACAGACCAGTGACACCACAGTGACCTGCTGGAGATTCATGTGCCCGCCATGGGTGGATGTTCAGAGAAACAACATGCGGCATGCATCACTGATCTATATACTGGAAGACTGGCCTTCCCGCACCATGGAAACCCAAACTGATCCTTGGCTTTGGGGGAGTAGTCTACCGGGAAAAAAGGTGATCCATGTCTATGTCTTTCGGAGAGCATTTGCCAACCGATGGGTTTTAAAGTCATGTATACACTATGTGTGTTCCTTCACACAAAGGCCTATGGGGGGGGTGGGGGGTCTCTCTGTTCAAATACACGCCGTTCAATCCCACCTCAAAACCCAACTCATCATCGAAACCCAACTCATCCAAACCGCTCCCTGCCTTTCAAAGGCGCCATGTGTCACAAATCGTCTCCTTCGTCACCCACCGTCCCTCCTCACCAACTGACTCGTCGGCTTCACCGATCTATGCCACCACCACTTGGACGACCCGTCGATCGCCCCGTCAGATCGATCGCTGGCGCTGTGCACGGGCAGCTCCGGATTCACCGGAACGAAGCACTGTTAGCGCGGTGCGTGAACGCCAGGCCTGGCGTTGGAGGTAGGAGAAATTCAACTCCTGGAGCTCTTTGGAGCAATGATCCACCAACTTCCTGAAGCGAACATCATGCAGTCGAGTTGTGGGCGTGAGTGGCAGTCGAAGTGGCAGCGGCAGTGGAAGTGGGGAGCTTTTTATGGGATTGGAAAGGAGGACGTGTTCAAGCCTAGTGATTTGGATCAACCATGATCAACCAAACAAAGAAACAAAACACATCCGGTGGCTTTTAGCTTGCATCTGTCGCAACTTTCTCTCAGGTAACTTCAATCAATCCCATGAAATGAAGACCTCTTTCAGAACCCGAGAACAAAAGAAGTGGATGACCTGCTGTGGCCAAACACACCCATGCCAAGAATTGCAAGATCGCCCATTACCTCGCCAGGAGTTGGTTTGGGCATCTGTATACATGGAATCCAACGCAGAATGCTGGAGACATCTGTTTCCCCAAACCAAAAAACCTCGGCAAAGACCAATATACAAGCACTCCTGCAAACCACACCCCCGGCCGCCACTGGCAGCCACTGACCTACTCATTGAGCCAAATGATCGTCTCAAAATCCATTCAGAAACAAAACGTCAATATATTTGAACAAAACCCTTGAGCATCGCACACTTTGTTCCACCTGGATTGTCCAAAAAGCTTGTTCAACCCTTTTTGACTCCAGATGCTCTGCCCCAAAATCCTCCATCACATGACATCCCATGGCAACCTCTCATGTTTCGCGCCACATCCAAACGTTTCCGCGCAGCTCTGCTGGTCTCTGGCGCCTGCAGGACTGCAGGTCTACTTGCTGGCTGTCGAGAGCCTGTGCAGAAGGTGGACCACACCTACCCATTCCAAACATGAGGGAATAACGAGGGGCATCTGTTTTTTGAGGAAGGAGGGAAGGAAGGAAGGAAGGAAGGAAGGAAGGAAGAAAGCAAGCAAGCAAGCAAGCAAGCAAGGAAGGAACATCAGCTAAGAACAAAAAGTTCAACCAACTCTCCCCCTAAATGACAAAGTGGGGTATCTAGGGATTACCTCCTGTTCTTCAACTGCTTTTGGTTATGGAACTGCACCTCCACATGTTCAGTCTATTTGGCTGCATGCCTAGAGCAAAACACGTGTCCTTGCGCTTGTTTCGTTCTCTATTGGCGACAAACTTCTCATATGGAAACACCCATCCATGAATCGCTGAATTGGTTTACGGGATAATCTACAGAAAAAAAAATATAGATTTTTAGGTGAAAAGCATGGTTTTCTGTAGATGTTCCCTTAAACCACTTTGGGGAATGAAGAACACCAACGCACAGTTGCAAAGCACCGTGAAGAATTTAAGAAATCTTCAAAACTGAGAGAGAGAGAGAGAGAATTAAAGAACTTTCAAACCGTCAAAGAGTCAAACTTCAAATTTAAGAAACAAATAGGGAGAACAAGATTTGCAGAGAAACATCATAAATGACATCACTGCCTGGAAACAATACTTCCACATATAATTTCACCGAGGAACCTCGGAACCTATTGGGTAGGTTCGTCAAACGGACCCACTTTTTGCAGCCACAGGTTAAACAAACGCCCAAGAATTTAATCTAAAGAAGTACCCTGCACCACACCATCCACACCGTGGAAGAGACCGAACCTGAAAACCACTGGGCTTGGTCTTCCCAAAACCAAAACCGCAGTCTGGTCCATGCCGGTCTTCCCGGTTCCATGTGAGTCTCTGTCTTCCCGGGTCGATTCCCCCGCCCCCACCGGGCCTCGTGCTGTTTCTCCAGCTCCAAGACCCATGGAGCCTCCGGCGTGACGAAGCACTCGGATGCGATGACCGTCCGGTGTTCACCATCGCACGCTGCACGATCAGAGGGCTTTGTTTGTACAGTCTTTGTTGATTGTGTTTTGTACCTGGAACCTGAGAGACCCCTTTTTGGGAGGAACAACTAGCCAACATATGGCCCTTTTGCCTATCAATTCAATTCTGACGCAACACTTGGCGCTCATTCCCCGGACTCCACACTTGGCGCTCTCCACCGGGGCAGGTTTTCTTGGATCCACCGTTGAACCAACCAACTGGCGCTCTCCACCGTCGGCTGTGGGGCTCGTGGGCCGTCGACTCTTCGAGTCGGGTCGCCAAGGACCGAATATGTTTTGAAGGCCTTTTGGTCCACCTTCTGAAGGCCTTTTAGCCGTCATGTTCACCTTCGCCTTTTCGTTGGCTAGATGTATTCATCGGGTCCCTGGGTCTTTTTACAGGTCTGAGGACAGTAGGTTTTCGGTTTGGGGAAAGACACGGACGATTCGTTGGCTATATATATATATATTCATCGGGTCCCTGGGTCTTCTTACGGGTCTGAGGACAGTGTCACATCAATTGGAAATGGCAACCGCGTCCAATACTATATCGTAGCCTGTTCTATCACGAGGTTCACGCGTCGTATTTTATGATGATACGAGTACGATCTTGTAAGATCTTGTAAGATCTTGTAAGTGAACACACATCCTGACAATTTGAAACTGTGGTATTATTCCGTTTCTTGACAACCCCCGCTAGCTTCACTGTAAACACATAATTACTCATGAGGCCTGTTTGGAGGAAGCGATCAAACTAAACTCTCACTGTCAAATAACATGTCCCTATCTCATGCCGCTTAGCATTGGACGCACCCACCTCCCAAGCTGTTCGGACCCAACTCAGTAGCTGTTCGGACCGTTCTACCCCTGCGACTCCGAGATGTGCCGGCATTGGCACATTGGGTAGATGCATGTATACATGCCTTTTCAGGCCTAAACAAACTACAACACCATGTACTACATGGGTGAAGCGCAGCCGTCCGGGGGGTCGGTCTGCTGTGGTCGTTCTAGTCATCACCGGCCTTCGCGGCCTGGGCTCCGTCTCCTGGAAGCAGGTTTTTTTTACATATGGGTCCTGGGAGCTAGCATGCATTGTGCCTTTCAACGTTTTTTTTGCATATTGGTCAGTCATTCTTGGGATTTTTTTTTGAATACAGAATTATATACACATAGAATATAATGTAATGTGATATAATTATGCTCAAAAATGAACAGGTTCAGGTGAGACTACCGGGGAGACCAACAGGAAGAGACAGGAAGAGTTGATCCCTGTGGTGTGGAAAGAAAAGCCACTAGTCCCCGACCATCTCGGGGGACGACCCCCAGGGTTTAGAGGAAACACCCTCCTCTACCAGGTGGCCTGTCTGTCCACGAACATTAATTTTTAGATACTCCGGAGTGATTCGTCAAACTCTCCAGGACTACAAACAAACAAACAAACAAAAAGGACATACAAACAGGAAAACAAATACCAGTGGAATTCAGTGCTTTGTTTGTTGTTCTGATTCTTTTCCATACATGAATGTTTGTCAAACTATTGCCCCTTGATGATTTGCCAGCTTCCTCACTCCGGTCACGGTCTCGCCGCAAAAAGTCTGTCTCCACTCATCCAAACCATCCAGTGAAGGTGTTGATGAACTTCAAAAGATGGACTTCAAAGACAACTTGTCGTGCTTTACTTGTTCTTTCAACTTGTTTGTCAATTCTCTTGATGTTGCTAGACCCTCCAGGTCACGTTCTGAGTGGATGGAATGGCCGAATTGGGAAGACGATTTTCCGAACACCAACCAGGTAGTTTGCCACTTCCTGGGTTGTTTCAGGGGCTATTTATGTCTTTTCAACAATTGAACACTGTGTACATGTGTTATAGCCGACTGCATCACTCAGGATTTCAGCACCACTTGGCCACCATCTGGCTGTGGATCAGGAACATGTAGCCCAACATGGCTCTCGGCAAGGGCGGATTGACCAGCTTTCCCACAGGTTTGGTTGTACTCAAACCATTGCACCCTCACTGGAGCCAGTTCGACCCTGCGACACTCGCCCAAAAATGGGGAACCCAGAACCAAACCTTTACTGGCTGAGGGTCCATGATTCCTATAGGGTCTGGTGCCTCATCCTAAGGAAGCTGGCACCTTCCCACCTTCCCACCTTCCGAGCGGTCTCACCCATCTCCTGGCGGTCTCAAACCCAGAGCCTCCAACCACCTGCCTGTCGACGCGAGTCCCAACGTCGACCGGTGTTGCGACACCGAGACGGGACCATGGTGTTCAAGCTTTGATGGTAAGAAACACATCACATGTCACTGGAAGATGGCAAGGGGAAATATGTCGGAGTTCAATCTTTGTGTTTGGGGGGTTCAACAAATATGCTAAGTGTTGTAACTAAACATGACCAATCCCGGGAAAAAACAACTCATGAGACTGGAATAACATATGAATTTACTCCATGAAGATGATCCATCCATGTCTTGGACACGATTCCCAAGCGATTGAGCTGCTGGTCGACGAATCCGAACATGGGTAGCCGCGGTGACCAGACCTGGATGGTCTGGGCACCGCGTCCAACACTCCCAAGAGCCAGCGCTCATCTGCAAACGCTCCCAGGCTCGGAAGTGAAGAGGATCATTGGTGAACATTGCGGGTTTGTCTACAAGTGTCCCAAAGCCACGTGAAGGAGCATTCCAAAGGCAATATACTATACCCCACTACCCCATGATCTGATAGCTTTGATATTCCTATATCATACAAGGAAAAGGCCAAGGTTACCAGGGCAACCAACGGACACGAAATTGGACTGCATTTATTGCCTTGCATCCCAGCCTGGTGCCACAGATAGGCCGCTAGCTAGACGGACAGGCAAATCTAGATAGATCGACAAACAGATCAAGAGACAGGACCATCGATATCGACCCATCGGTCTAGCCCGACATCAACCTTGAAGTCCAACCCAGATCGGTGACCAACTGAGTGTCAACATTACAGTAAGTACATCACCGAGCTCACAGAAGAGCTCTGGCGATCAAGAGGCAGAATTTGGAACAGGTGGAAGGTCGAGGTACACTACAATCATTATTCATTATGTTTTGACTTTAGAGGTGTGGAAGTAGCCCATTTTACAGGCCAAGTGTCCCCAATGCTTAGCGCTAAAAGGCCGTTCCGACCATCCCTATGGACAAGGAGTCACATGTCGTGACTCGGAGCCGGGGAATTAGAGACGTAGCCGGCTTAGAGAAGGAAGGAGCCATCCGAATGTAACGTACCCTTTGTGAGCCATCCAAGGGTAACATTTAGAGACGGAGCCATTTCCCCTTTTGTGAGCAATCTGAGGTTCAAATTTAGACAAGGAATCATACCTTTTTAAGCGTAATATATTTGTGTTCTTTTTGTGGTGGAGACTAAAACTTAAGAAGTGATCACAAACGCCATCATCACCGACCACCATACATGCAATAGGCAATAGCAAATACATTCACCCTCCCGACCGCGTGCGACTGGTCGCTGATTCTGGGGCTGTGTCCGGGGGCGGATTCGCCGCGCTGGTCGCTGACTCGACGTTGTCTCCGTGGTCCATATGGTTTCTCTAAATATGTTGAAGATCCCTATACTGCCGTGGCTGAGAAATTGTAATACTACCTCCAGACCAAAATGCCTAGCTCATCCGTACCACCGGAGGCATTGGATCATTTCAAGTCATCCACCGCCACCGTGGCGGTTGGCATGCCCTTCCCACGCCCAGCGCGCCTAGCTCCTCCATGCGAGCTTCGAGCTCGTGGCCTTGGTCGGCCGAACGAACGGTGGCCGCTTTGGGTTCCGGTCATGCAGGACCTCCGCGAGGCGGGGATCGCAGGTGATATGACCAGGGGATGTCCATCTGTTTATATATTTACTGGGAACATGTCTTTCCCAAGTAAAGGGTAAAGATGAAAGTAGCAGTTGTTGAACAGTATAGCTTCTTGCTCCTAGTAGCGATGCCCTTTGCTCCGTTCGTAGCGATGCCAGGAGCCCCGTAGCGTCCGATCGCTCCTAGTTGTTTAAAAATAGGTGTTCAAGGCTATCCACTTTTCCTGGGTGGTCTTTCTTCGAAGCGAAGGCATCGGACATTTGAAGAGGGAGGTGGAAGAAATGCTTGGGATGAAGAACGCAGTTGGTGCGGCCGTACCCGGAGGCGGTAGCCTGCGGTGGTACGGAATTTAGTACCTCCCATCAAAGAATTCAACATAACCCAATAGTAAGAGTGCAGGAAAGGAACACACTTCTGTTTCATGGTGGTTCCTACAACCAAGTGGTTTACATTCTACCACCTTGGCCTTAGAGGCGACTGGCACGATAAGAAGACCGGAGACCAAGTTGGAATAAGCTCAACACCTGGCATGAAGACCAGTGTACCTGCGGGTTGACAGGAGAATATTGAGATGATTGCTGGTTTCCAATGGAGGTGCCATCCTAAAAGCCAGGAAGCTTCTCATGCCAAAGCTTGTCATGGGGTTTTGGACCCACAGGTCTTTGTCCGCACACCCCACAGTCCATCTTGTATGTTCTTTGTTCGTTCCGTGAATCATTGACACAGAAAGTACATCACATCTGGTCTTTGGACACATGTTATCCCTGGGATGGATATTTGTTTCTTAAAACATCATCGTTTGAAACGTTGCTCATCGGACACCTTTAAGCCAGTTTAGTCTAAGATGATGGTGCCTGGGTATTTGGATCTTGTATGAACGCAGGAAAACCATATGAAAACCTTTGAACACCCTAAACTCATGGGCGACTCAAGTTGTTGAATCTGCGAGGCATGTGGTGGTTACCCCATCAACGAACGTTCGCGCCACCAAGCGCCGTCCGCCTCGCGCCGTCCGCCCCGCGCCGTCCCTTTTGCGTCGTTCCCATGAGGCAAGAGTCATCCACCACACACCTGGCGGAGACGATGGACGTCGAGGACCGCGGTTTTGCTCCGACCAGTCGAGGACTGGTGTGTGAGTTCTGGTTTTAGTAGACCCTGCAGCTTAGCAGGCACAAACAGTGAGTATAGATTGGGTGAGAACACATCAAAAAGAAAACACATTTCAAATTGGAACAACACACCTTTGGTCAGATTTCCCAAGAATCTAAAAAAACATCAGGATTCCGTCCTTTTTCGTTGGGATCTGTCTCAAGTTGCACCGAGGCGACGACAACTTTGCACTCGTAGCTCATGAGCTATAAGACGGCAAAGTCTGAGAAGCTGCTTGGGGGCTGAGGGGCTGAGAAGCAGGCCAAACATGCACCTGAGGAAAAAGCATGAGCTAAACCATAGCCACACACGGGTGCTTCTTAGGCCTGCACCGCAGCTCAAACACTGGGAAAAAACATTGACCAAAGCAACCGCTTTGGAATTCCCATCAACTGCCGATCGAGTCGATCCACAAGCAATCCATGTTGGTCGACTGCCTCGTTATGGTCTTTGTCATCGATGCTCGACTTTCTTTAGACCGGCAACAAGCCTGGTCAGCGATGAGTACGGAGGTATGTGGAACACCCAGCATTGCGTACGAACGGGGCTTGATCGGTTCTGTCTCGATGAGAACCCAAGACTTGGACCATAGTGGATCCTTACGAATGGCCACTTGGCATAGCTTGGCGGTTCTTGAGCTTGCGTTTGCGAGTCTTCAGTCCTACCATCGAATTGATTCAGTCATACGGGTCACCTACTGGGTCAGCGGCCCAGAATGCACACCAGAATGCTACGTAGCTACGTAGCTATACGTAGCTACCGAGTTTTTTGCGGGTGGCCTTTTGGTTGGGTGTTTCCACCAACACCAACCAACCAACCACGCCTTGGTCAACTGCGTAGTACTGAGGATCTTGTGCGCTGTCTGAGGAACATCCGCCCAACTGACTGTCAACAACCGATCCTCTTGAAGGCGCTCCCGCTGCTCCTGTGCGTCATGCACGGCCGACGGGTCATGGGTCAGTTCTGCTCGGCAACGAACCCCCCCCGACCGTTGGGAAAACCGTTTCATACACACCAGCAAAGGTTGAAGAACCCTCTAGACTATAGACTATCCTAGTTCGGTACCCCAGGTGACGGGTCCTAGTTCAGGTCACTGGCTACCTCTGTTGGCGTCCGTACGGAACGAAAAAAATAGAAACACGGTGCGTCCAGTACGGAACACAAGATCCATGGTGCAGCTGCTTAATGTTGATCTGAGAGTACAAGTCCAAAGCACCATACAAACGATACAAGTTCCATGGCATAAAAAGGCACCTGCAACAGTTCACAGGAGGGATTCAGTGGGGAAAAAGGGAGGAACCAGTGTGGAGGAAAGCATGTTCCTGTTTGAGTGCCTGCAGGTGTTCATTGTAGCCAATTGGTTGTCAAAAACAATTTGTATGCTGGCAAATGAACACATCCTGTTGCCAAACACTCTAAACAAATATGTCCAATATATGTCACTAGTGTCCAGCCTGTGGTGCAGGAAACGTCCTCCAATGTCCACTATCCTGAAAAGGAAAAACCACGTCCCGTTGACTCTTGTGGTCAAAGAAACCTTGTCCTGTAGCTCCTCTTTGAAGGTGGGGCTGATCGCAATGAACATCGCTGTTGATGGAAACAACAAACATCGCCGTATTCTGATGGAAACATCTCATGCCACCCATCTCATGCTACGTCCTCTCTGCTGAGGGTCTCCAGCCCTGCTGTGCCGCTTTGCTCTGCTTCGCTCCTCCTGTTCCAGCTGCAAGTGCTGGGAGATCTCGTGCTGCTCAGCTAGCTGTTGCCTTGTCATGCCAAACGCGCAGCGAACAGTTCTGTTACTAGGGAGCGCAGCAACGTGTTTTCACCCAACGGTCTGAACATGCGCTCATCTACCTGGTAGATCCTTATGGCTGATGGGGGGAATTTCCTAATTGATGCGAACCAGCAATGAATTTGATCGAGGAAGAGAACATGCTTGGTACGTACATTGAGTCACGCTAGAATACTTGAGGTTGTGCAAAAAACGCCTAAAAATAATTCCCGTATATATACCACTCTTGACTTCACTTTTTTCCCGAATGCGTAGCGAAGGGTTCTCGTTTAACTTTGGGGGTCTGGGGATAGAGCCTTGTTCGCGACCCGTTGTTTCTATGTTCGCAACCGTCCGCAACCGTAATGTCGCTGTCACATTGGGATTGGCGTGTGAGCGGGTGTTGTTTGGAGGAGCTGGAATTGCGAAACTGCTTGGCAGGGCTGCGCGATGTGTGTGCTCCGATGGATGTTTCCGCTTGACTTTTGGAGGAAGTCTCGCACGAAACGCTCGTTTTGCAGACTTTGACATAGAGTTTTTGAGGAAGTCTCGTACGAAACACTCGTTTTGGAGACTTGACGTGTCACTTTTTGAGGAAGTCTCGTACGAAACGCTCGTTTTGGAAAGTTGACGTGTGACTTTTGGAGGAAGTCTCGTACGAAACGCTCGTTTTGGAGACTTGATCGTGACTTTTGGAGGAACGCTCGTCTGGCAGCCTCGAAGCGTGACTTTTGGAGGAAGTGTCGTACGAAACGCTCGTTTTGGAGACTTGACGCGGTACGAAACGCTCGTCTTCTAGTGTGTGGGCAGACCGCGTGGCGACACGATGCTTGTGATGTTGCAGTGCCATTGGGATTTGCGCGGCCTGGGTGGGAAGTGTGTTTGCGTGGCGCCGTGCCACTCAAAAGCGCAAAACATGCTGGCGTAAACGCGGCGTGCCGCTGGTGAGCGGGATGATTTGTGGCATCAAGATTGTCCCAAAAGAGTGACCTACTTTGATGGGCTGTGGCTTTAGTAGTAGGTTAAAATGAGTATCATATTTAGTTAAATTATTATTAACAATTTAGCTGCTTTAGCACTTTAGCTAAGTCATTAGTTAAATAGTTAGCTAAGTGGTTAGCGAAATACTTAGCTAATGAAAATCACGATGTGTAACAACAAGCTTGCTATGAATGCACTGAGGTGAAACCATCATTACATGCAATGGAAACAGGCTTTGCCTGCCAAAATGTGTGATGTCAATTATGTACAAAAAGCAAAAATAGATTTCACACCATTTGCCTTTACATGGTAAGCTGGCAATGCCAGCCCCAAAGAAGCCTGTATTGGCAGCCAATAAGAAGCCTGTAATGGCAAGACAGCTGTCAACAAGAAGCCTGTATTTGCAAGAAAGCCTTGCAACAGCAAAGCGCATTTTACCCCCAGGGCAATGGAATCAAAGTTGTGACTCTTTGGTCATTCTGTGCATACACACAACTGGTGGCAACCTGGCACAGAGGAATTGCTGCAACTTGACAGCATATGCATTCCCTTTGCCAACCCCCAGCAAAGACAACAAAGACACTAAGCAGAAGGTTTGCCCAGCAAAAGCCACATGCAG